TTGGAGCCCACCACAAGTTACAAGACTTTGCCACTTGCACCTAATTTCTGATGGACTTGCACCAGTCTATGCATCCTACCGGAGTTTGACACAGATACTGCTCTGCATCCAGCAGCTGAGAAATCCAGTAATCCCCTTCTGAGCCATCCATTATGATTCTACTTTTCACCTGAAGACATCATCTGACAGGGACCAGGATTCATGGCAGAAACAGGGAGGGAGAGGATTTCTTGCAGGTCCTATGACCTGGATGCATGTCCCCGTCCCTCTCCTAAATGGAAAGCCAGGCGGGTGTGGCTAGAAGGCACTTTTAGTGCTTACTGGACGTACTATGTGCAGGAGGAGACAAATGGGATCATACTGAGAGACGCCTCTTCATTTTGCGGCTGAGAATGAACCGTCTGTGAACCTCTTTTATCCCATTGTATCAAGTCAGTGATTCAACATGAACAGGCTGGCCTGTGCCCTCCTCTGAGTTCAGTTTTAGTAAATTGCATAGCCCTGTTCATTGCTTGCAGTGGCCACTGTTGCATCAGATTTAACCATAACGGCTTTTACTAGAACACCAGGACTTTGTTTATGTCATGACTCACTCTCAGCTGGCTTAGGGAACGGGAGAGCAAATTTCTCATCCAGCTCATTGTCCTTTGGCTGTACGTTTGGGCTGCTAAATTTCTCCACCTTCAACAGTTTTGAGCAGAAGGTCAGGCCACGTGCTACATATCTGCCATTACAAACCTGCTCATGGATGGTCTGTGTCTGCTCAGTGTCTCTCCTGCACTTCTTTAATATTCAGGGTGGGAATACCTATACCAGAAAACATACAAAGAGAAGCAAGTCTGTTTACTGTTCCTAGGTTCCACTTTAAAGTTTGTGGTAACCTGAGCAAGACTAGTTTATAGACCCTTATGGGGGGGTCAGATTTGGGCTCTAAATCTTCCAGGATCACTCTTGTATCTCCTCTTATTCTACTTTCAAAACACATGCTTTGCAGAGTGCTTCTCCACATCAGAAATGGCTGGCTGCAGCTTCTCTTTAAGTCAATCAGCAGCACGTCTCTCCCTCAGTCAAGGCTATGTCCTTGACGGTACAACATAGCTTAGACCCCAGATTCTGCAGAGCCACAGTGAGGGTGTTCTTAGCAAGGATTTTCATTCAGAAAAGATGCCCCAGGCAGCCCATCCTCTTCAGCCTTTAACTTCACCGATTTAAAACAGAATTGTCTGGAACTCTGCTTCCCTGTGCTAAGAATGCTTAGGTACAGATCCCGAAAGTGGTGACCATCTTCAGCATAAGGGGATAGAGGGGAGGGATTTAACTTGTGCGGGGTCCATTAAGCCCACATTGCCTGTGAAAATACTTAACACCTACACAGCACTGTGCCTGTTCAGCCAATAAATAACCTTCAGGTGTAAGGTAACAGTGTTATCCCCATTTTCTAATGGGGAAATAGAGTCAGCTCCCTCCACGTGGCTGTTTGCATTAAGTAACCAAGGTTGTTCCATGTATCGAGACTTACGGAGTGGATGGAAGGCTGGTATAAGGGGCTAAAATTCTGCCCTCGAAATTCCACAAGAAGGCCTGTGAGGTAAAGAAAAGACCAAGGGACGTGCACAGTATCATCTGTGCACCCCGAATGTGCTGGTAGTGAGGATTAATGGCATTTTGGGGTGGGCAGAATTATTGCAAGTTTTTTTTAAATACTTGCCACTTTTATGCAAGGATCTCAAAATGCTTTACAGACATTAGGGTGAAATTCACTGCGTGCAAAGGGCCAGTCCAAGGCCCAGACATCACTCAACTCCCCAGAATAGGGCTCAAGTGGGACCAAGACCCTTTGGTGTGCTGGTCTCTGGTCACCAGTTAATGAATTTAGCCTTAATCCCCCTGTGAATACATGGGTTTTAAGGCCAAAAGGGACCATTGTGATCATCTAATCTGCCCTCCCACATAGCAGGTCACAGGACTCCCCTGAACAAGTCGATGGCAGAACCGTGTCTGACTCCAGTGTGCTACGCACAGGAGCACAAAACTGGGCCTGTCACACAACCCCCATTTTACAAATCGGGGGACACCTCGCTCAGAGCACGACTTGTCCCAGGTTACACAGCCAGTCTCTGGCAGAGCTGGGGAGAGAACACAGGTCTCCTCCCTCCCAGTCCTATACCGGAGCCTCATGAGCATCCTTTCACAATCTCACAGCCCGCCGGGTAGGGTATTGGAACTGCCAGAGCTCCAGGTAGGTGCCTGTAACTGT